AAAGATATAAATTATTATACATAACGTAGCAAAAATTCAATTCTAAGACAGTAGATAAACTTATAGTTGCTATCATAAAACATAAGAACAAGTCTAAGTTTCCTCGTGTGGCACCGATCACAGCGTTGGCATCACTACGGACCGTTTCGAGTCCTCGTTAATCTGTTAACTAGCTCTCCAACACTCCCTCTCTTCCTGGACATTGAACAAGGATTGTGGGCTTTGTAAGTTCGCACCGCGTTTGATGTGTGTAACTGTCATCATTTTTGCTCTTAGACACGACAAATTTTCGCCCCAACGAAATTTCTTTTCGCAGGGATTAGCTGTTTGATTGGTTCTCTCTTATGAATAGAACATTGTGTGTGAGTTAGATTAGATCTCCATCGGCATGGTCGGAATGGTCTCGTAGGAGGCAGTGGAGACAAAGTGGTTCGCCATCTCCTTGTCCACCCAGTTCCTGAAGAGCGCCACGTTGCCGTACACGCCTGGGACGCCTGCCAGCCCGCAGTCGATGCCCCAGGCCACCGTTCCGGCCAGCTGGTAGCGCCCTTGCTGGCCGTGGATGGGGCACACCAGGGGGCTTCCACCGTCGCCCTGTGAATTATAAGAATAAGAATTATCAGTCCCAAGGTGGTGTCGGGCGGCTTGCTGTTACGCCAAGAGGAACAAGTATTTCGAATAGTAATCTTTTGCGTTCTACATAATTGCCAAGTACCTTGCATGTGTCCTTCCCCTCCTCGCCGCCGGCACAGATGAAGCTGTCGTGCAGGGTGAAGTACGCCCCGAGCCGGGTCTTGCGCAGCTGTTCCTGGCACTGGTTGTGCGGCACGACGGGCAGCTCCAGCTTCTTCAGAATCACCTGGTACCGCCCCTGCTGGCCTGTGGGTTGGCATGGAGACACAGTTAATAACGGTTCGTTCGCTTCAAATATGCTCAAAAAACCATAAACTGGTGACCAAGCATGGTATCGAACATGACCCTTACCGAATTTGTCCTTGCCCCAACCACTGACGAAGCACTTTTCGTAGTCGAAGATCTGGTTCTGCTCCGGCATACAGATGGTGCCGATGTGGTAGCCGATGTGCACAGGGGTCTCCAGGAAGAGGAGCGCCACGTCGTTGTGCACCGCGCCGGCGTAGTACTCGGGGTGGATGGACACGGCCCGGACGGTGCGATCCTGGTGGTGGTACATCTCCTTGGAGGTCTGCGTGTCCCATTCGCCCGCACGGATCTTGAGCTGCGACGGGTTATTCTTGCTGCAACAGGAAAAGCACGCCTTCAGAGAGGCCTCCAGCTTGCTTACGGCTTGCTCACGGCGGCTCGGCGCCACTCTACTCACTTCTTGACGCAGTGCGCGGCCGTGAGCACCACCTCGGGGGCGATGAGCGCGCCGCCGCACTGGTACAGGTTGCGCGTCTTGTCGTCGTCGCTCTTCTCCACCTTGAGGATGGCCACCATCCAGGGGAACTCGCCGAACTGCGCCTCGCCGTCCTCGTCGCCCGTGATGCGCACGCCGATGCCCTCGGGGTTGCGCTGGCCGCACTTGCCCGCGCTGGGCCTGATGACGGGCGGCGCCGGGGTGTGCATGGGGTCGAAGGGGGGCGAGCCCGGGGTGTGGCCGCCGTCCTGAGGCCCGGGGTAGCTGGGGTCGACCGGCGCGTAGGTGGGGTGGTCCTCGGGCCCGGGGCCGCCGGGGCCCTGGTACGGCGGCAGGGGGCTGGGGTCGGTGGGCGTGGGCGGCGGCACGGGCGGGAGGTTGGCGATGCCGGACGTCTTGCAGCACTTCTGCAGGTAGTGGCAGGTGTTGTTCTTGTGGTCTTGCCTGTAAACAGGGTTCAGTGAGCAGGTTGCCCCGCACCGCGTCGTGCGTCTCGTAAATTACGGCTCGCTCACCTAATGTCGATGACGCCTTCGCCAAACTCGTTGAAGCCGCCGTCCTTCTGGTCGCACTGATAGTAAGGCACGCATTTGCAGTCATCGCCGTTCTCGCAGAGGCACTGCAACATTGGCAACATGCACGGTGCTTTTATTGCTGTCCTGCCAGTGACCGAGAAAAACGGAATCGTGTTCTGCTATTTACCGAATCCGGTCCTGCTGGCTGGTCCGAGGGGCAGGTGGCGCCGCCGAACACGCTGCAGATGAACTCCTGGCTCGGTTCGTTGTCCGGGCCGTAACTCTGGCCCTGGCTTTGACTCTGACTTTGACTTTGGCTCTGGCTCTGGCTCAGTCCGCCCAAACTCTGGCTCTGGCTCTGACTCTGACTCTGGCTTTGACTCTGACTCAGATCATCGCCAAACTGGCTTTGGCTCTGACTCTGACTCTGGCTTTGGCTTTGGCTAAGAGCGCCATCGCCTCCAAACTGATCCAGACTCTGGCTCTGGGCCTGGGCCTGACTCTGGCTTTGACTCTGGCTGTCGCCGCCGTAACCAGGAGTGCTGGTGAAGATTTCTTTGATGGTGTCGGGGTCTACGTACTCGTCTTCCTGCTGGCGCACGCCTAGCGCGCTGGGCCTAGCAGCCGGCTTAGCAGCAGGCTTGGCGGCAGGCTTCGTGCCCGCCGCGAGCGTGCCCTGCGCGACCGCAGCCAGCACCACCAGGAGCACGACGACACGCATGGTCCTGCGGAGAGCAATGCACAGCACGTGATTCGATTGGCATTTAAAAGCACCGACACGACGCCCGCCTTGGCGCCAGCCCCCTCCCCTCGAAGCGAATGGACATGCCAGCCTGCACACAGGCGTGCGTGCGGGTTTGCCTACCGCCACCACGGCGCCGAGCGCAGAGGCATCCCGCACGCACACGCCTATGTACTACTTCACAGTTAAATCCTTACAAACTAAGCTTGCGGAGCATCTGCGCCCAGAAAACGTACCTTTGATTTCACGGAAATTCCGTTGAATGGGGACGAAGAGAAATTTGACTATGAATTAACGGAATTTGATATTAATCAAAGCAAAATTTTCTTTGACTTATGTCAAAATTACTTATTTTAAATTTTAAATTCAACTTGCGTTAATTCATAGTCAAAATTCCCTTTGTCTCCATTCACCGGAATTTTCGTGCAATCAATGATACGTTTTTCTGGGTGTGTCTTTGTCTGGTTTTAATATTGTAGGGATGAACATGAGCAGTAGCCCAACTTGCACACGGAACGCGCAGTCATCTTTCGTTGAGGCCCGAACGACTTCACGCCTGTGTCACGCCTGTGCGCCCGTGCGGTGAGCTGATGACACGCCTCACGGTCGGGCTGACGAAAGGGCCGAATAGGGGAATGCATGAGCTGGGCCAGGCAGCCAGGCAACTCTAAGACTCGAAAGATGTGTGCGTTCTGTGCGCAGCGAATTCAATGTGGCACCTTTATTTCCTATGTCCCCGTGTGTATATCCTGCGTGATATGCCCTATGGGCGTCGATTCTGTTTGTTCGTTTGGGTACAGTATGTACCCTCACAAGAGTAAATGGTGGACACGGCAGGAAGAGGGGGAAGGGGGGGGGGTCAAGCGGCGGACAAATCCACGGGTAACCCACGGGTAACTCAGCGTGCAACCCCCTTGGGTAGCACGTTGGTATCCCAGCGCCGTGGTGGTGGTGGTGTGTTGTCGTACCTGCTTTTGCCGCCAATGGCTCGCTGACTTCAGTCGGGGTGACTCTTGCCGGCTGACTCCGGCTGGCTCCGGCGAAACTCCGGATGGCCCAGCGACGCGTGTCTGGATTCGCGGAGACTCCAACACGGACTGGCCGTTGATTCCAGCCCGGCTCCAGCAACAGGCTTGTCTGTCCAGGCAGACCGGCAGGGGGATCGGGCCTCTCCGCGGCGG